TTCCTGGAGACCACGCGAACTAAGCCGCTGGTGGAAAGCTAGTACAATTATAAATTGTAAACAATAATATTTTAAATATTTAATTTGCAATGACAGTTTGTATATCTAAATAAGCAGTAAGTATGTTACACTTACCGTCAATCCCAGCTCTCTGGATATTTCGCTAATATTCATTCCATCTTCACGTAATGCGACGATACGACTCCTCTTTTGTATGGAGAAGTTCCTCGAAGACATGGTCCAAATTCAAGCCAAGGTCAGCCAAGGCACGGTGGTCAGGTATTAACAGGTATCAGTCCAATGAGAATGCGGAGGTTAAAAGAAAATCCAGAGTGAGCAAGTCAACAATTAGCAATATGCAAAAAGCGACTAAACTAAAAAAATAACAACACTGTTATTGCATTTTTTGCATACGTAGAGCCATGCTGATTGGTCATAGTAAAATACTATGACCAATGAAGATGCGCCCGTAACTCCGCCCCCTAAAATTGCATCAAGTGTGTGCCAAGCGAACGAGATTTTGAAGTGGATAGGCACGTGAGACCGCCACTGTACATATAGGTGTCGCACGATTCGCGCGCCATTTTCTTTTCATTATGTTTAAAGTAGTAAATGCATTGTATTATTATATATTTTTCTTGTATTATTTAATAACATACAAGGGCCGAGTAAATGTTGCTGTACTAAGATTTTAATAATGTAACCCAAGAATCTTAGATACCTATGAAAAAGAATAGAAGTTTCTTGAATATTAGTATCTATTGATTTAATAGTCGAGAGGGTGGGTGATTGTAACTCGCGTCGAATGAAGCTGCTCATATAATTGAGATCGAACTTCACATACAGGTAAGTTCGTTTGATCATCAATTATATTTCGCAGCTTCATTCTTAGCGATTTATTCTATATTACATATTGTAGGTTGTTTAGAGGTAATAAGAAAAGAAAAATAAAATGTTGTGAATCACTTTACATTTATTAATATAATTATTACACTCCTTAGCAAAAAATTGTTTCTCACCTGAGAATGGCATTTGCAAATTCATTAGGGTTTAGGATGATTTCTCTATGATAATATTTTACAAATACTTTGGACACATTTGTCCATCCAACAGTTTTTCTAATTAAATCTAAATTAACACCTTTCCTGCTGGCAGTAGAAGTAGCCGCATGACGCGTGCTGTGAGCAGTAAATAGTGATACATCTATGCCACTGGCATTAATGGTGTCTTTAATCCAACGGCTTAGGGTTTGAGATGACACCTTATTATATGGTCTTTTGAAGCTGATAAATAAGTTTTTGTGATTGCTTCGAACTATACTGGATTTTTCTATGTAAGCATTAACAGCACGTGCTGGACAAATTTCTGGACGTGTATTATAAAACGGTAACCTTAATATTAGTTGGATGCAATTAATTTTGGAAGTTTTTATCAAATCTGGTATCATTATTGTAATTTCAGTGTCCTGTATCTTAATATTTTCTAATTTTACAATATTAATGAAAATGTTTGCACGCGGTGTGCCGTAACTAAAGCCAGCAAGGTAAGTGTTTTCTTAGAAATAATTTCTAAGTTCATCTCATGATTGGGCCATAATTTAGACAAATAGGTTAGAACAATATTTGGGTCCCAAGTCACGTTATATTTTGGCATTGGGGGTTTCAGTCGAAACACTCCTTTCATAAAACGTTTCATTAAATCACTATCTGATAATTTTGTGCCCGTGATCAACATGAGGGCTGATTTGTGTGAATTAATGGTTCCGTATTTGGCACCACTATTATATACTTCAGTTAAAAAATCAATTATCAAAGAAACTGTAGGTTCTAAATAATTATAATGATATTTTTTGCAAAACTCAAACCATTGTTTTAATGAACAGTCATATAGTGTTAGAGGATAGTGACTCTAATATTATTTCTACAGCATTAGATGAAAGGGATCGGTTTAGTAAAGTTTGCCGAACAATTTCCCGGCAACCAATGTAAGTTTCTTGTGCAGACTGTGTGGGGACCTGAAAGGTGATATGAGAAGATTTTTACTTGGATTAAAATATAGATAGATAGATAGATAGCTAGATAACTCTTTATTGTTGACATTACACTATTTACAAAATATATAGGTTTCCCGATTAATAATTTATGAAAAATTGGGTACCATGGCTGCATAGGCCATTGTGGTACTACGACTATGCCTTCAGCTTTGTCGTGAATAATTTTTTGCAATGTTTTTAAAACAACTGAAAAGGGTGGAAAGGCGTAGAAAAATACATCAGACCACGATATCGTAAACGCATCGACAGCCACAGAATCTGGATCTGGTTTCCAGGAAACATATTCTTTGCATTTAAAGTTTTGTTTTATAGCAAATAAATCAATTTGTGGTTGACCAAAAACATGCACGATATTCTGATAAGAAGTATCATTTGTAACACGAGATAGTGTATCCGCCTCAATATTTTCTTTCGTATTTATATAAGAAGCAAATACGACAATCTTATGAGATTCGCACCATTGCCAAATTGATTTTGCAATTACATTCAAATGAGGGTATCTTATGCTTTCCATTTTATTAATGCATGATATTGCAGTAACATTATCAATACGAAGTAATATTTCACAATCGTACAGGTTTTTAGTGAACATTTTTAGGGCATAAAAGGCCGCTTTCAATTCTAATACATTAATATGATTTTGTTTTTCATTTTCTTGCCAGTGACCATAAACTCTTTCACCGGCACAGAAAGCACCCCAACCAGTAATAGAAGCGTCTGAGAAAATTTCTAGTCTGAAATCATTAAATCTCAATGGTTGATATCCTTTATCTATATTATCAAGCCACCATTTGTAATCTTCCCTTAAAGAATATGGTAGACGAATAATTTGTTCATAGGAATCATCTTGCAATAAATTCAAGTATTTGTGTCTTTCAAATTGCTTTATGTATAGCCTGGAGTACTCTATAGCGGGACAAGCAGATGATAAAATACCAATTAACTTATCAAATTCTCGCAATTTGCAAGTTTTTAAATTTATAAAATTATGGAAAATAAATTTTATTTTATCTTTTTTTGCTTCAGGTAATTTCAAAATCATATTTTTAGAATCGAATATAAATCCTAAAAAAGTACATTCATTACTGGGTATCATTTGACTTTTCTCATGATTTATTATAAAACCTAGTTTTTGTAGTAATTCTTTAGTGAAAAAGATATTATTTTGACATTCTGAGTAACTTTTGCCTAGGCAAAGAATATCATCTAAATAAATACTGAAATAGTATATTTTGTTGAACGTAAGCATTCCATTACTAGTTTGAGTATTTTGGTGAATACAAAAGGAGCCGAAGAAAGTCCAAATGGTAGGCAATTAAACTGATATAAAATATGATTAAATTTGAATTTTAAATACTTTCTATGGTCTTTATAAATTGGAATAGAAAAATATGCATCCATTAAATCTATTTTTGCCATATAGCAATTTTTTGTAATTAATTTTTTTGCCGTTCTATAATCCTCCATTTTAAAATGTGACGTATACAAATTTATTTAAACATTTCAAATTTAAAATGAATCTATGATCGCCATTCGGCTTCTGAATTAGGAAAACGCTAGATACGAACTCTTCTTTCTCATGACTACACACTGAGATAGCTCCAATTCGAAGTAAAGCATTAATTGCTTTTTCGAAATGCACCTTCTCAGCAGCAGATTTTGGTAAAGACAGGACAGTCACGTCGTGTAGGTTTGTTTATAAAAGGTATTTTGTACCCTTGAATCCACGACAATAATGTATGATTGTCAGTAATATCTGCCCAATAATCATAAAATTGAGAAAGGCGACCTGCAAGTACCTCTTTATCTATGTTCGTCGGGGCGGACGGCGCTGTGGTGGCGGCGAGCGCGGCCAAGCAGATGATGTCATCGTCTTGATGGTTGCAGCACGCGTCGTCATTCTTGTCCCCGCGTTTCGACGTCTCCCTGCATCCGGTTTGCAGGGCCCTCGTGTTTAAAGACTTATGTCTATAAAAGTTAGCTTTATTAAATTTTAAATTTCGTTGGTGTTGTTTTAAGTCAGCTCCGGATTTTTGTATGTTTTTTGCAGACTTTAATTTGTCGCATATAGTTTTATGGACTATGATAGGATACTAAAAAAATCTAAAACTCGATAAGTAATATTGTTAAGAATTATTTTCTGTTTTAAATCTATTTTAGATCATGTCATCGATTTTATTTATCATACAACTCCTAGTCTATAACCTTCAGTGTTGCATATAATGTGGTCCAAGTCAAAGAAAACAAGATTATAATGGTTCACATTGATTCATATACTGCGATATTTATCAAACTTGAATACTTTCGCATAAAAAAATAGGATCAAACAATAGACTTTCTAAACAGAATGTATAGTGTTATTATTAAATGAAAGTATACTCACGTATAAAATATTAAGTTAGTTAATGATAGATTATAAATACAATAAAATCAACACTGCCTATAGTTAGAGAGCACCCGTGTCGTCAGTATAATTAATTACATTTGTGATTTTTTTTCAACAAATATATTCAGTGTATTCATTGAAGAAGTTTGCAATCCAAGATTGTTCTGCTGTACTGTTATCCAGAGAATTCGTTACCGATTACACCAGAAAACAATAAGTACAATATTTGTTTTTTACTGTTTTTTTATACCCACATTGACGTGACATAGCAAGACTGTCTGCAACATTCTGAGTTTACCCTCAAAGTGTAACAATAAAGTTGGCTGGCAGTATTCGAAGGTTGCCACTCTTAAAATTTTTCCTGAATTTGGGGCGAAAGATAAGAAAAAAAGATACTACTGGATACTTCACGTTACCTATTACGCTAGCTAATATAATGTGCTCGCGCTAATCAAGCAGCCTTCAACTAACCAGTTATTGCTCTGGTGCGCTCGTGTTTTGTGCTGGTTTTGCTGTGTTAACTGCAACTTCACTTGGTCTTCGCTTTTTGCTATTGTCAACATGAAATACGCATGCTGTAAATCCACTGTCGATGGTACCTCTGGTTCACTGTCATGTACCACATGCAAATTGAATTATCATGTGGCGTGCCTATATAGTTCAGATAAGAGAAGGGTCTTCAGTGCTGAACAAAGGCGGTCTTGGCTTTGCCCTGGGTGTTCATTAAGTCAACCAAGAACACTAATTAATGACAATACTCCTATTAGAACAGGCGCAGAAAATGTAAACGTTCGTAGAGGCGCATCATGTATTGATTCTCCTACTCAACATGTTTCTTATGAGGCAGATCCTACAATATTGGAGACTGTCAAAAACATCATAGCCTCAGAAATGTCGGTCATGAGGGCTGAATTACGTTCGGCTATTGCTGAAGCAATTTCTAGGGAGGTCAAACCAATTATTGAGGAGATCGCCTCGATTAGGGAATCCATGAGTTTTATAAATGACCAACATGAAATCATTATGAAGATAGTGAACGAACTTGAAAAGGATAGCAAGTCGTATTCAAATTTGAAATCGGAAATTGGAAATATTAAAAAGTCAATGGCTGTCACTGAGGCTGACATCAACAAACAGGAACAGTGGGCTCGTCGATCAAATGTGTAAATTTTTGGTATCCCAGAAAGAAAAGGAGAAAATTTAATGCAAATTTTAAGGGATATTTCCAATAAAGCAAAACTTCCGCTTCATCCCTCAAAAGATATTGACTTTGTTACACGTGTGGCGCCTAAGAATAATGAAAATAAGAAAATTAAACCAGTTGTCGTCCGTTTCTTGTCACGCTGGAAAAAGGATGATTTTCTATCAACTTTGAAAAAACTAAGGCTTAAAAGTTCTGATATAAATATACAAGGTGACTCATTTATTCATTTCAATGATCACTTAACTAGTGCTAATAAGTCTTTATTGCAGCGTGTCAAGTCACTATGTAAGGAAAAAGCGTACAAGTACATATGGATTAAGAATTGTGCGATAAAAGTGCGTCGCTCGGATACATCACCAGTTATACACATTTCCAGTGAATCTGATTTAAACAAAATCAAATAAGATTTCCGTTAAAAAAAATTTCTTGTAATTGCTTTGTATACCATTTATTTTTTAAACGTATTTATATAATGGTGTTGATGCTTTTGAGCATATTTCCTGGCATTTTGGACTGTGACTTGTTCAGGCTATATTGTTGGGTCGTTTTTCTCTATAGTGTTAACTTGTTCGTGTATTCATATAGTACGAAGGATATGACAGGCCACCTGCGTCACCCTCATGACTTGCCTCATCCGTGATGCCGTCGGAAGCGCCACAAGAAACCGTAGAAGGTACCGCCGCACAGAGAATTGAACATCGCGACGATATGCCTAGATCGAGGCCACCAACGGTATGTTCGAATTCGAGCGTTGCTGCGCGCGTTAAGCAGGCGCAACTCGCAGCGGAAGAGCGACTCGCGGAAATACGACGCCGCGAGTTGCATATTGAATCGGAGCTAGTAAAAAAGAGATTAGCATACGAAATAGCTACTATACAAGAGGAAACCGATCCGGAGAGCTTACCCGCCGTCGATAATGTCCAACGAGTGGACGACTGGTTCCAGAATCTACGGCGTCAGAACGTGTTAGAGCCCATGTCGGAAAGGGACGGCGATACGGCCGCGCAACAGAAAAGGAAGGATGCGCGAGCCGTAGAAGTAGATAAACACCGCCACATTACGGACTCTCCCTTCAAGGAACAGAGTGATGATAAACTAATCGATGAGACAGCAAACCGAGATCGGCAAACGATTAAGGAAGACTCGGGGATGGATAAGCTCGCTCATACGTTAGAAAGAATGATGAATAGGCGTCCGGTGCCGCGTCAGGCTCAAGAATTACCAATTTTTAGCGGCGCACCGGCCGAATGGCTGCCGTTTAAAGCAGCAATGCGCGACACCACAGAACAGTGGCACTTCACTTAATCCGAGAACATAGCCAGATTAAGGAGTTGTTTGAAAGGCGAAGCGAAAGAAGCGGTATCAGCGCTTTTATATACCGTCGCCGATCCGGAGTTAATAATGAAGTCTTTGGAACAATGTTTCGGTCGACCCGAAGTGATTATTTATCGAGCGCTAGAAGACATAAAGAATTTACCGCGACCGGGTACGACGGCAAGCGAACTCAACACATTCGCAATTAAGCTTCAAAATATAGTATGCATATTGGATAATGTCGACGACCGAGGGTATTTGAGAAATCCATTACTAGTGAGAGAAGTGGTGAAAAGCTTAGCCCCCACCTCCGATCGCGTTGGTGCGACTATGCATATGAATCCGGAAGCTACGCAGAGCCAGAGATCGTAACATTGTCTTGTTTTTTGATGCGCGAAGCAAATAGATCACTTCAATTCGCATATGTGACTAACAACAACACCGCTGCTATGAAAAAGAATATCGCCGAGACAAAGGAACAGATGAAACCGCGATACGATAGAAAGAGAAGCACTGCGGTGTACGCGACCAACGATGACGTCACCTCCAAAGTATGTCTGTGTTGCGGGGGACGTCATGAAGTACCACAATGTGAACGGTTTAAAGCTATGAAGATACCTGAAAGATGGAAATGGGTTAAGAAATCCCAAATTTGTTTTCGATGCGTAAACAGAAAACATCGTCGGATACACTGTGACAGCCCGTTATGTGGTGTAGATGGCTGCCGCCACCCACATCATGCGATATTGCACGAGAACCGTGCCCAAACGAGCGAGGCGAGACCCACAAAGGAAGCCGAGATGGTTGCATCAGCTACTCACTCAACAGAAAGACCCAAAGTATTGTTAAAAGTGTGTCCCGTCACCATAAAAGGACCGAAAGGCTCAGTCAACACTTACGCCTTACTCGACGAAGTGTCAACTATAAAAGTGATAGATGAAGATCTCGCCAATTACGTGGGTGCCGACGGGCCGACAAATAACTTAAGCATATAACGCATTAACACGCAGAATGTATACGAAACGAAACAGGTAAATCTTCAATTGATCGCAGGGAATAAGAAGCGATTCAATATTAAAGCTAAAACTATGAAAAATCTTACGTTGAACCGACAAAAGATAAATAAAGAAACATCGAACTATAAGCATATGCGCCACTTGCGTAGCAAAGATCTATGTTATGGGTATGCCGAACCGCGCATACTGATCGGAGCGGACAACTGGCATCTTATAGTAACTCGAAGACTGACGGACACTCCCGGTCCGTTTGAGTTATAACCGGTTAGCGGTTAGCGTGAATTATAGCTTTCATAAGGGTAATAAATAGAATTTAAATAAACCTTAGCATCACGTAGATTACAATGATCAAATTGGGACATATCTTTTGATCCATTATTTTTCTATTAGTTTGCAAGCCGAGAATAACATACCTAGGTTTTTCAATCTGAGTAGAAGTTTTAATTGACCATGTATGTTTAGTGGTCTTTGGTAGCATTGGGTATTCGTAAAGATCCCAGTTCCGAAACGTCAATTGAATTGGTTTATCTTTTTCCTGAATTTTGAGTAAATTGATTTTTTCTCTGTCAAATACTTTGTTTGACATGAGGAACACGCCAAATTATTTTATGTTTATCAATGCTTTCTATTACTTCATCGTTATTAAGTTTTAAAGCATTGAGGTTTGTATTGCTTCGTAATAGAACAAGCTCATGCTTACAGTTTGCTATAACCTTTTTATAATCTTCAGCAAATCCTAGTACGTTACTTAGTGGTATTGATACAGAGAAGTGACCACCGATAGTATTTTTTAAACCCTGTATATTCCAACCCCAGACTTCAGATATCTTCGATTCAGTTTCATTCATAGAGAGTAAAGATTTCATAGTAGTTGTTATACCAGCATTTTTCACTTTATCTATTTCAACGCCGTTTAACTCATAACGTATGTCTTGAAACAAGTACATCAAAGCATTATTAGTAAAATGAAAAGAAGGCACTCTTTCTTTTGTACCCTTAGCTCTAAATTTGATCACATTTACCACTTCTTCAATATACAAGGTGCTTGCACTTGGAAGCACATATAAGTCTTGTTGATTTATCGGTATTCTTATTTCATCATTTCTATTGAAACTTGTTATGTATGGTTTATAAGAATGAGTTTCTATGCACTCTATAGAATTGTCATATGCAGGCGGATTTGTTATATTTAGAATATTCATTTTAACAATCCAATCAATTTCAAAAATGCTTTATTTTGTGGAGTTAGTTTAATATTAGCAGAAGAATGTGTGTTCTTGCGAAGTGATCGAATACCACTAAACTTGTGACTATGAGATGATACATTTTTTATTGTAATCAATCATGTTTCTTTATATGTAAGTATAAATTCACTTCTTCTCCTCGAAGGTCAACAGAATTATTATATATATATCTAGTATTCTTATGGTGATACTATTGATAGTATCTCTGTTTACTGGAAAATATATAGTATTCTTTGGTAATTCTATTATTCTATAACCCGGAGGTACCATGGGTGCAAACTCATGTAGTATATGACTTGGTTCACCGTTTATATACGACCCGCTTATGATATCACATTCGACTCTCACCACAGTCGTTGATAAAATGTTTACGGGAAGTGACTCATGTAATATATGACTTTTTAGGACTTCCTTACTATAACCCAGCAATTCTCCGAAAGAATCGTGTTTTTCAATATGAATATCTTTAGTACAGAATATAGTTGTCTTAAGTGTATTGTTATTGCAATATAACTTTAAATCACAATCTTTTACTTCAAACTTTAAAAAATCGTAAATATCTTGTAGTTCATAAGCTTCTTCAGGAATCTCAACCACTTCATTAGTACCATAGTGAAATTTATTATTAGCTTTAGTGATATTCGGTATAGAATTAAAAGTAGAGAAATGCAATAATGCACATTCATAATCACCATTCGGATTTAAAGTTGGTGAGTAGTTCGTGGTTAATATGGAACTTTTGCCAGTTATAGACAATGTGAAAGACATCGTGAAAATGTATATATAAAAATCAAGTATGTCAATATATACTAACTTGATCCCAAAAGTTGTGCAAAATTTTTAAACATAAATGTCCACAATTAACGCTATTATATTTTTGATATCGATTATAATTGTAATAAATATCACGATGACCGAAATATTTCAATAACTTTTTTGGTGGTTTTAAATCACCAAAACTATCAAAATATTCACAATAACTGTTTGTTATTGCATAAGCTACCCAATGCGTTCCATTGTTATTATGATTATCTAAATTAACGAATCTACATTCTATTGGTTTTGACTTAGTTGGTAATCTATCTTTTATATAAACTCCTCGAAAATGGGGTATAATTCTAGAATATTTCATTAGCTCAATATTAGATAAAGCTTTATTGGGTAACTGCGAAATTAGTTTTTTAAACTTCTTATAAATAAACCACTGCCTTTTTTATACGGTTTGATGTAAAGACCTTTTCCCAATGCAATAGCTTCCATGGTTTTATTGTGACGTTCTGATTCTTTTAAATTTTGTTGTGCAGCTTTGTATTCATTTACCGTTTTCGCAACACCTGCCGCCACCTCCAGCTAATGCACCTAGAGCAGACAATCCCGCCAAAATGGATA